TGAAAAGAAGAATAAACTGTGCAACTGGCTGGAAGCTGATATTTAGGCATATTTGGACAAGAAGTGTACAGTAATTTTAGTCAGTAGTAATAAATGGTTGTTGAAAACAATACGTCAGAAGCTGGGATTGACTTTCCATCACTGAAATTTTGAAAAATTGGTGCTTTCTGAAGAAAATGTTTAAGATCCAATAAAAATTAATTCAGTGTACAGCTTTTAGTATTGTAACAAAATACCAAATTAATCCTGAGCTCCAAGACCTGTTTCAGGTCTGGGGGTAAATGTTATTCGCTTTATGCTTTCTCATTGTGCTTCTTCCTTTGTTTCCATCTTACTGATGTTCACTCCCACAACTCCTTGCAGATGCTGAGTGACTGCATGTAAATGCTACCAGGGTGTGAGTAGTTGGAAATGGTTCCTCAAGGAGGAAAAAGTGTTAGCGTGGTGCTGAATGGGGGAGAGATGGCAGGGTGAAGGGGGAGTTTCAGACCCCCTTGCTGTTGCTGGGTTCTGTAGAACTGCCCCTGCTTGGATTTTATTTTGGTAATCCTCAGATTATCAGAATTATTTTGAGAAAGAAAACAAGTAAGTCCTGTATTGACAGAAACAAATGTCACATGAGTCCCTTTAATGGGGTGCCATCCTTCAGGAGCAGCTGCTTCAGCATGGGTTCCCAGGGTCACCAGTCCTGCCAGCAAACCTGCTCCAGCCTGGGCTCCTCTCTCCATGGGGCCACAGCTCCTGCCAGGAGCCTGCTCCAGCACGGGCTGCCCACGGGCTCACAGCCTCCTTCAGGCATCCCCCTGCTCTGGCGTGGGGTCCTCCCCGGGCTTCAGGTGGGTCTCTGCTCCCCCGTGACCCTCCATGGCTGCAGGGCACAGCCGGCCTCACCATGGGCTCCACCACGGGCTGATGGGGAATCTCTGTTCGGGTCACCTCCGGTACTCCTTCTCCACTGACCTGGGGGTTTGTAGGGCTGTTTGTCTCACATGTTCTCACTCCTCTCTTTGGCTGCAGTTGCTGCTGCACAGAAGGGCTTTTTTTCCCCTTCTTAAACGGATTAACCCAGAGGCACTACCACCATTGCTTGGCCAGCGGTGGGGCCATCTTGGCGCCAGCTGGCCTTGGCATCTTGGAGCCAGCTGGCATTGGCTCTATCTTATATAGGGGAAGCTTCCAGCAGCTTCTCACAGAAGCCACCCCTGTACCCCCCTCCCTACCAAAACCTTGCCACACAACCCCAATACAATATACATTTCAGATGTACAGAAGCAAAAGTTAGCTGTTTATGTAAAAGATCATAGGAGGGGAAAATACTCTGAACAAAGTTGGCTATGTCAGAGGAGTAGCTTCTTAAACTATGTTCTCAGAGTTAAGGTTGTTTTTTATTTAATAATTGCTTTGGCTTATGAATGGGGGTAGGGTTTTTGGTTTTGGAAGGAAGTTTCCTACCATGCTGTGTACTGTGAGAGGTGTGTTTGTGTGCTATGAAGTAGAGTATTTTCTTAACCATTTGGTGGTGGTTGTTTTTTGGTGACTATTTTACTCAAGAAAAAACAAACAAGCTTAACAGAAAACAGTTCTAGATGGGTATTTTCTTTGGTCTTGGTTGTTTTTACATTACCTAACAGATTACTGATGAAAGGAAGTCCTCTTTCCCCTTCACCTCTGCTGATCCTCACAGTGGTAATGTTCCTCTTGTTCCTCCCAAGAACATCAATCCTAGAGCCCCACCATATGTGGTTTCCTGTCCTCTTACTGTTTCCTTGCTCTAGTTCCCTTTTTTCCTGCATCTTCTTCCACTCTATCCCCTCCCAAGTTTCTTTTACCTTTCCCACCAGCCCTCCTGCTGCTGTCTGTACTACCTTTTTGTATGTTGTACACGTAATGACACATTAAACACCACAAGCCTGTATAGGGGCAGGGAGAACGCAAAACACTAGAGTTTTGAGCCTGCAGACTGAAGTACTATTCTAGCTATAAGGATCTGACAGGCACTAAGCAGGACTTGGGAAAGCAGTGAAGTCTCCTAATGAAGGAAGAGTTCTTCAGCTGGTGCTGTACTTCTGTAACCTTCATCTCTCTTCCTCAATTTTTTGCTTCTGTGCCAGTCACCTGTTCTTCTCAACACTTAATTGCTTGCACGTGTAGTGTGCTTGTAGGAATAAATGCTGGGCTTTGAGTGTCCTACATGACTACATGGTGTATAATGATGTCCTGTGTGCACAGATCTGCTTTTATTAGCAGTGATTCTATCTGAGTGAAACAGCATTGAACCATGGTTTATTCTTTTCAGGGTTTCAAACTATGACATCTTCTGGTATACACACAACCTTTTCTTTGTCTTCTATATGCTGCTGATACTGCATGTTTCTGGGTAAGTAGACGGAAAACACTGTCCCTTTTCCTGAAGCACAACCAGGAGGAGCAGTTCCCTTGATTCCTGTCTCTCCCCAGCTTGCTTGTGCACAGTGGGCCAACTTCTTGACAAGATGCTCTTCAGTTTCTCAATGATTATTGTTTAAATAAAGTTCAGGCTGTAGCTTGGTGAATTGTGTATTAGTACAGCCAGCTAGCACAAGCAACTTCACTTGCAATTCTATTCCTTGTCCATTTTACCACTTCCTTGTGGGAAATCAAGAAAACCTTATTGTTCTTTTCTGCCCTCTCTTTCCTGGCTGCTGAGAGGAGAATGTGAAGCAAAGCTACTCATCCCTTTCACTTTCCTCTCTACTTTCCGTTTTGACTCCTAAGGAGAGGGAAGGAACAGCCTCTCCCTAATTCTCTTTATTGTTGCTATGATACAGAATTTGCTGGTTTTTCTTCTTGTTTTCGCAAACATCAGACCAGTGTTCAGGTGCCATGAAGCTGGTGGTCAGGTCCGTATCTGGCACAAACAAGCCCAGCTCTACCGCAAGGCAGATTGTCTTCCACGAGTTACACTCTGTGAAAATCTGGTCCATGAATGTCTCTGAAGTTTCCTTTGTGGATGTAGGTTCAGACATTAGTGCA